ATTTCACTACGTTCCCTGGTTGTCTTCCTTGTGTTTTTTTAAATATGATACCCAGTAACAATGAAAGCAGGTGCAGTGGTTATCGCTGCATTTCCTCAAAGTTGTTCCTGCCCTCAGTTTTCCACCCTCACCTGCTCTCTACGTCCATTAGTCGCAGCTGTCTCCACCTGTAATCACTTCTCCCGGCCCTACAGATACTTTTGTTCACTAACACTCATCAGACTGGCATACTGGTAGTTCCCTGCCTGGTTTTGTGTCTGCCTGTTGTCTGTGTGCTCCTCATGAGCAGCTGACAGCTGTAGGTGCATTTGTTCTGTTGTGTTTCGGTCTGCTTCCTTGGGTCCTAACTCATCTCACCCTGACAAAAAATATTAAATTCATATGCAGAAATGTATATACTATTTTCATAAAAATAAATCAAAATTACACAACCTGAGATGTCACATTTGCAATTAAAATCTGGGCTTTTATTTGGACTTCTGCATACATTAAATAAGTTGTACTAAATAAATAGCAATGCTTGAAGCATGTGAAAGACTAATAAGACTAATAAGATCACATCACTCTGTGTGACATAACTTCTTTTTTAATAACATTCTTGCAAGAAATACATCCATTAGTCATAATCATATGCCTAATATTTTGTTTGTCCAGACATTTATTGTCAAAGCAGCTATGATCTTAAGCTTGGTGTGGTCAGCACCATGATATCAACAGATCCTTTGCACCCTGGGAGTTTCACGTGTCAGAGCCTAATTGAGGAGTTTTGAGGCCCAGTTGAGTGAATTTCACATTTTGTTGGATTCTTTGAGCTATTTCTAAATAGATTATTTAATTATTATTATTATTTATTTATTTTTTTTGTGGGAAAGGCTTCGGCTGTGAAAGAGTCCAGTTGGCATGTAGGCGGCTTGATTATCCTGCAGAATCTAACAGGTTTTAAAGAAATGTTCATCTCAAATCCAAAGTTTTCTTAACAAGAAAACTGCGTTGCAACCAGATTAGCTGTGTTCCTTATTTTACTTGTCAGTAGTGAAACACTAATCTTTAGACTTTCCTTTATGTTGCATCCCTGGAAAATATATTTTTCCCCAGAAGTAGTGAATTAAACAGCAAAATGAGCATGTATATTCAAAAGGCTTGTTCACTGTGTAGAATTTATCTTTGCTTTCCTTTGTGTGTCCATAATGGTGCTATATATAGAAATATGACTAACACAGCCTACTAATGTGTGTGTGTGTGTGTGTGTGTGTGGGGGGGGGGGGGTTCTAAGTTTCCATGCCTGGGAAGAAAAGATGACGAAGCAGCAGACATAGGCTATAACAACTGCAACACCTCTGAAAATAGGAATTGCATAAAAACTTCTTACAGCATATAAATTACAAGATGCTTGAAATTAAAATTGTAACTTTATATTTGATCTTAGGCGAGCAATAGATGAGGAATTTACAAGAATCACTTAAAAACAGTTCCTACTTCAAGGTTCTTTAGCACCAAGGTAACACATTTAAGGGGAAAATGGAAACATTTTTTTTGAACGTTGTGAACATTTAACTCAGAAAATATAAAGTTGATTTAACTATTTAAGAAACAGTATTCATTGTAAAGAGCGACTGCGAAAGTCCAGAGTAAAAACATTTTACCACTTTATTTGTGCTGTTTTTATGTTTATGTCTTCAGCTTTTTCTATTTACTCATTTATTTCAGTTCGTTTTACAGAGTAAACAAGAGACGTGTTAAATGAAGAACACTAACTCGTTAAGCAGTATATGTTTTGTGTTTTAACTTTGCATTTTCACTTAAAAGTTTTATCAAGTTCATGCAGCCAAACTACTTGGATGTGTGTAATGACCTGTCACAGCTTAGTTTTGTGAATATGAACTAGAGACTCTTGAGGCCTAGATTAGCTTCAAACTTTAATAAGGTAAAATAAAAAAGCTGAAGAGGCATAGAACAAAAGAAATAACAGAACTAACATCAAGGACCTCACAGGAAACAGGCAGGAGAAAAGCTGTCAGGGAAGATGCTGGGACGCTGAATGAGGGTAAGGGCAGAGTTTAAATGGACTGGGACTGATGAGGTAAGTGGTGACAGGTGAGACTAATGGTTGCAAAGAACAGGTGTGAGTGGGAGGGGCAGGACTGAGGAGCAGAAATAAGCTGATGGCATAAGGAAACAGGAATATAACTGAACACAAAACGTCATGAAATACAACAGAAAAACACTGATCTTGGTTAAACGTTTACCAAAGCAACATGCTAAATGTGTAAATAGACATTTTTAAAGATTAACTTCAAAATGTCAATGAAAATGACTTGAATCTGATTAGTGTTTTCTCTTGTGGTTTTCTTTAACCTGATCAATAATGTAACAAATAGAACTGTCACTCCTAAATAAGAAGATCCTCACTTTGAATTTCAGCTGGTGGTCTTCCTGTGCAGGGTTTGCATGTTCTCTTTGTGAATGTTTTTCATATTATACTTTGCTTTCCTCCCACCATGCAAAGAAACGCCATGTTAGGTTGATTGGAGACTCACTGAGCATTAAGTTTCCATATTTGTCTTGAATGTTTCACTGTTGACCCCGCACTAGACTGTCCAGGGTGTACAACGCATTTTGCTCATTGAACACTGAAATACGGTTCATGCCTTTTTGTTTCACTTATTTATCTGTATAATTCCCTGAATTTTCTTTTTTTGTTGTTCATTACCCTGCCAGCATTCAACTTTTTTTTTTTTAACTTTCAGTTGACTGTCACGTCTGTTATACTTTTGAAGGTCTACTTTGGTTTTTAATGCCTTCTGTTTTCCAGTTCTAGCCAATAAGACAAAGAGGAAGGTCAAAGAGAAGATACATGGATGCAAAACCAACTAAGTCCATGCTCAATAATCCAGGTATACAATCCAACAATTTTCAGTCAGGTCAATGGATGGATGGAATATATGGATGCAGTTAGAGAGGACATGGAGGTAGTTGGAGTGAGGACAGAGGATGCAGAGGACAGAGTGAGATGGAGGAGGATGACTCTCTGTGGTGACCCCTGAAGAGGGAAAAGCTGAAAGAAGAAGTTCTAGCCAGTAAGTCAATGTTTATATTTGTGCTGCATCGCCTGCTTGTTAAGTTTCTGTGTTACATGGTGCATGTTGGTGGTCTGATTGATGTCTGACAACAGAAGTTGGTGTCCATTTACAGTCTATACTAACAATCTTTATGGTTTACTTTCACAGATTTTGCTATGACGACAATCAAAACAACTATTATTTTCCAGTCCCAAAATACTCCATTATTCTAAAAAACTTACATTAAACAAAACAAGAACGAAAACCCCATTATCAATACAAAGTACTTTACCCATCTACCACTAGTGCACAGGATTAATCTTAACAGCCGCCCACACCAGCAGAAGAGTAATTTCAACAGAAAAGCTAAATCATAATACATTATTATAATAATTTACATGCTTATTTGAGAAAATTACATAGTGTTTGTGTTTACAAGATCTTATCTGGTTACTTAAAAAAAGTTAAAAAGCACATCTATCCTAACTGTGCAAAGCTGAGTACAGTCTGAATGTGCTGTCTGGTGCACGGTTGAGTAGAACATCTTTTCAGCTGTCAGGATAAATGGATTGTAGCTGGTGTGCAACCATTTTATCAAAGTCATATTTCTCATAAAGGCGTGTTGTGTTAGCTTTGCTCACCGTAAAGGCATTAACTGCGTAATATATCTTGTGCTTTTTGTTTTTAGCATGACCGATACAGATCTGAAGAGTCCGAAACTTGCCCTTGCAAAAACTGCAGTACACCTTAACAACTTCAGATGGCATTACTCATAGTTATTTTTAACTGCTTTCTTTGTTTGCTTGTTTTATCTGTGCCATGGCTGAGAGCATGATTATTTTTATATTTTCTATGCTTATTAACCCTTTCACATCAGCTTTGCTTGCTGTCGAGACAGAATGGCTTGTAAATGTGTTGTTTGAGTTTTGTTTCTAATTTGTCTTTGAGTTGTATTTTGACAAGCACAACACAACTCAAAACCACCAGGTTCAGAGAAAAACAACCAGTGCATTTGGGATACACTGAATTTTGTTTCAAATAGGAGTTGATTCAAATAAGATAAATGGAGAATGAAAAACAGTTGTAGTAACATAAAATACAAATTCACTGATAAAAATACTACAAAAACTGTCAAATTGATGTAAGTTTAAGAACGGTAAAGGGCAAGTGTTGAAAGCAAAGTCCCTCTAAAAAAAAGGTTTAAAACACAGCAGTTTAAAACAATTCTGGTTAAAAGTACACTTTCTGTAAGAATTTAAGAGTTTTATATATGTGACTGACTTCCTAAGCTGTTCTGATACATGTCTGTGATCAATTAGTCATGTCTGCTGGGTCTGAAGGAACAATGCTTTATTCCTTTACAGCTGGCATCAGGAAGCATCATGTCGGAGTATCTTTTATTCATATTTTCCTTTCAGGTAGTAACTGAATATGTATGTACTTAAAACATTTGTAAAGTACTTTGTGTTGAGTTTGAGTTTTTAAGTATTTTCACCTGAAGTTGAGTGGTTTTGATCGAGTGGTTGATGTTTATGACCGTGATATAAAACTAATTAGCTTTATTAAGTTTGCCGTTGATGTGTCACCATGAGACGAGCAAAAGGTTATATAAATGTTTCATTCTTTCATCCTCCTTGGATGGCATTAATCTGGTCTCCAGCTCTAATGTTAAAAATCTTGGTGTTATTTTCGATCATGACATGTCTTTTAACCCCCATATTAAAAATGTTAGAACCGCCTTCTTCCACCTGCGTAATATTGCTAAAATTAGAAACATCTTATCTAAAAATGATGCAGAAAAACTGGTTCATGCATTTGTCATGTCTAGACTGGACTATTTCAATGGTTTATTATCTGGGTGTCCAAATATTTCTTTAAAAAGGCTTCTGTTGATCCAAAATGCTGCTGCCAGAGTCTTAGAGTTAGCAGGAGAAATCATATTTCTCCAGTTTTGGCTTCTCTCCATTGGCTCCCTGTCAAATTCAGAAATGAATTCAAAATCTTACTTCTAACCTACAAAGCTCTCAACAACCAAGCTCCATCTTATATTCAAGATCTTATTGTTCCATATTTTCCTAACAGAGCACTTCGCCCTCAGACTGCAGGTTTACTTGTGGTTGCTAGAGTTTCCAAAAGCAAAATGGGAGGAAGATCTTTCAGTTATCAGGCTCCTCACTTGTGGAACCAACTTCCAGTTTCTGTCCATGAGGCTGACACATTGTCCAGTTTTAGGACTTGGTTTAAGAATTTCCTTTTTGATAAATTATATAATTAGAGTTGGATTGTTATGCTGACTTAATCTTAGACTGCTAGAGGACAAATTGACCTCATTTCCTTAAATGAATTGTTAAAATTAAATAGTTTTCATATGATACTTTTTCTATCTTAAATATGTGATTCTTGACCTGCCATTGTGTATCTGTTCCTCTCAAACCAGCCGGTCGAAGCAGATGGCCGCTTGTCCCGAGTCTGGTTCTGCTAAAGGTTTCTTCATCATGAGGGAGTTTTTCCTTTCCACTGTTGCCTTCATGTTTGCTCAAGATGAGAGTTCTGCGATAGTTAAATTCAAAGCAGTCTGCTCCTCAGATAAATAATGTTCAATTATTATTTTTATGTATGGATGTTTCTAACTTTCTCACTCACACCTAGGGACAATTTAGAGTTACCAATCAGCCTAACTCTAAATTGTCCCTAGGTGTGAGTGAGAGAGTGAATGGTTGTTTGTCTTTATGTGTCCCTGTGATGGACTTGCAACCCGTCCAAGGTGTACCCCGTTCCTCGCACAGTGATTGCTGGACGAGGGCACCGGCAAGCCCCGTGTCCCAAAATGGAATAAGCAGGTAAAGATAATGGATAGATGGATGAAGGTTTGTTTCTTTTGCTGACATTGTTTGTTTTTTTTTGTTGAGGAATTTGCAAAAATACCTTTAAAGAGTCAAAGATTCACAAATTTAATTATTAACGGTTAAGATGTTTTTAAGAAATATACATTCATAGATACATTTTTTAAAGATAACCCTTAAAGCATTGAACACTACTGATCTTTCTTTTCAGAGGCTAGGTGACAGAACATACTTTGCATGCAGGCCAGGTAAAACTTGATACTGACACATTATCTAGCTGTGGCCTGACAAGCTCTATAATTTGTCTTGGTTTGATGCAGGGCTGCTCAGGCTTTACGTTTCGTTTTTACATCTATTCTTACCTTCAGCAACCTTTCTGGTTTGTTCGGCCACGCTACCAGGCATAACCTTGGCAATGTAGGCTCCGATCTCTCCCCGACTGCCTGGAATCTCCTTACCACCTACAACACGGATCCCAAGTCCATTCCCTGAAGTAAAAAAAAAAAAAGGATAGCCAAATATATAGAAACAGATCAATAGAAAAATCAAAGAGCAGATTTTTTTTTTTACTTGTGTAGGTTTTTTTTATTTATTTTTTTCAGTATACCTGAGACACTGGGGTCGTTCATGTCTCTAATGAGCTTGATGCGAGCGTGAGGGAAGACATATGGGACCAGTTTTATCTGAAGATTTAAAAAAAATATGGAATAGAATGCATAGATTACACATAAGAAGTGAATGATGGAAGTGCAGTGAACACGAGGAAATTAAAACCTAATAGTTGCGTCACACCTGTCTCCGATCTGACATGTGCCCGCTTTGAGGCTGTCCTTCTCTTGGTTTATCAAACCAATCTGTGTCTTCTCTCCGCAGGTGGTAGGCTGGACAACGAGAGAAAATCATTAAAAAGTGTGCATGCACAAATGCACAGCCAGTGATTGAATGCCTGATAACTTGATAAATCTCTGCTTTAAACATGGTGACTGCTTGGCAGAGATTAATCCAGCAATCAAGTTGGAAAATAATGTTTTTCCTTGTTATGCTTAGAATTTATATGCACATCCACCCTCATTTGATAAAATGCAGGAAGATCTCTGATCTGTTTTCTCTGGACTGGTGAAAGCAAAACAAGAGAAACACAAATTATCTTTCAATCCATTCATAACATCTGAATGATTAAATTATCACTGCAAACACTACATAAAAAGACACATTTTCAGCATTCAGGGCATTATATTATTGGCATGCTTCTAATCCTAATGCATGCTCCCTGTACAAAATTATTTTAAACATATAAATAAATAAATAAAGTAAATTATAATTTTACAATTGCCATAGGATAAGGTTGTCCCAGTTACTTATTTTTTCTTGAGTATAGTCAGTTAGGATTTTCCAAAATCATAATGTTTTGGAAAGTAAGTGATGAACCAGGGTCAAACGTCTTATTTTTCACTATAGGTGTTTGCTGTAGAATAAACATTTGTGTTCCTATAATGTGTGTCTGTATTTTGAGTACATATTCCAGAGAAACCAAAGTGCATTGTACTCTAAAGCCTCATCATACAGACCTTTCCTATTTTTAAACAATATAAAATACCTGGAAGATGTTTTAAAGTCACCATTTTACAGCTCAGAAAACCATTTCTAATTAAAAAAAAAAAAGGCCTGTCAACACAGTTTCATTCTGTAGAAGCTCATAAATGTCACTATGATCAGAGATCCACAAAGAAGTTGCATCAGTATTGATGACTGGAAATGGACTGCTGCATGTTTTGGAGTAATAAGCGGTGAATAACACTCAGCATATTTTTTTGGTGAACATTTTAACACGAATATACGCATGATTTTTGAAAATAAATCTATTTAGGCAATGAGCATGAGCACTAAAAATGGGTCGATATGGTTACAAAACCACAGAGCAAACATTCCAGAACAATGTAAAACTAAATCCACTATGGTTCATCGCAGAATGAAGTCAACATGTCAGCTACTACGAATACGCTAAATGATATTTATCGTTTACCAGTGAGATGTGGTGCATTCAGGAATGGGTCTGGTATGTTTACAGAATCAGCCAGAGATGTGGATCATTCAAAATCATGGTGCCTAGCATGAAGCTGTAAAATTCTATGCAACTACATGGAACGCTGTCTCACCTTCTATACTCCAGTTTGTGCCTCCGGCTGGGATACAAAGTTATGCTTTCTTTAGAAATATGTTCAACATTTTTTTTTTTTCACAAATGTGTGCTACAATTTTATTTGTATCGTGGGTATTCTTTAGCACATGCAACTAAAGCAATAGTTAGCAAGATGCATGCTTAAAATTACTATGGTATATCACTAGCCTGACAGAAAAATTTAAGCAGAAATAATAACAAAATAAAAATAACTAGCATCTTTTAAGAAATAAAGCCAAATACAGTAAGGTAATAGAAGATGAAGTTATACATCTTAACTTGTCTGTAAGCTACTTTTAGATACTCTACCGTGTCTGATACTCTCATGAAAGATTCTGGCACCATCTCTGTTCAAAGCCAGCATGGACTCACTTAGAGCTGTAATAAAGGCAAATTGACACTTTATTGTGGCGGCAAAACAATAATTTCTTATTCAATAATTTGTTTATACTTGCTCTTATCTGGGCTAAAAGAAGCAAAGAAAATTGAAACCCACCAGTCGTTGTTGCTTACATGTTTTATAATCAGTGTAGAAGTCATTACATTATCTAAAACTTAGCCCGACTGAACTGTTTTGCCAAAAGCTCCTAGCTTTTCGTAGTTTGGTGTTTTAAGTGCTGTTTGATTTGGCTTGTTATATACTTTTTAATCTAATGGCTGATTATTATATGACATCACTACTGATCCTTCATTTGAGTAGATAAAGATAGTGAATCTCACAGTAGTAGTGAGACATCCACGGCAACAAGCAAGACACCAAAAATATTCATTTTATTAACGTAAAAATGAAAAACATGTAATACAAATCATGCAAGGATGCAAAATCCAATCCAAATAAGAAGTCAAAGGTTGTACAATGACAAACAGTACAACACAAATGAGACACAATGTTAAAGTACAACTAATTAGTTAAAAAGTTACTGCATTACTGTATGACTTCTTTACATGCAGAAGCCAACGGGGATTTTTACATTAGAGTATCACTGACTCACAAAGAACTGGAGAACCAATGCAATTTACCTGTACTGTCATAACCTATAAAATGATTAATATACATCACAATAATTCAGCATTAGAAGCTTTAGAAAAGCACAAATGTGTCTTGAGCTACTTCTGAAAACTGCACATTGGTGAAAATGCTTTTCTAGACATTACTTTTTGTCCTTGTTCTTAAAGCAAGTGTTTCTGGGACTAAAACGCACGCATTTTTAATATGTTTTGAAAGTTTTCTTCTTTTTTTTTGTGTGCCACATTTCATTTGAAAATGAATAAACAGATTGTTTTACTTCATGTGTTGTTTTACATTATAAAAAAAAAACTGATAACATTTAGGGATGTACAACACAAAACTTAATTTTGTGTGTAATGCTTTTCTGTTTTAATACACTTTTTTAACATTCCAAATGATTCAAATACATATGCTGCTTTACCTTGCTTAAAAAAATGTGTTTCCAGTTTGAGGGATGGAAGTTCCTACAGTCTGTCTGATTTGTCCTAAACTAGTTCCTCAAATTCTTCACAAATCATTATGGCTCAAAACAATAAGGCCACTGTAACATAAACACAATAAAACACATATATAAAAAAAACTGAGTTCTGAGAATGCAGATGATTTTCTTTGAAAAAAATTATAAAAGAAATGCATGCAAATAAAATCAAAGGTTAAAAGTAGATGACACAAGTAAGTGACATACATTACACTCAGGTAAAGATTATTGGTGAGAATGTTATCTAAAAATGAAAGGCATGCATACATCTAATGTAAGGTTTACCATGGCAGGGAGAAATACAGGAACAGAAAAACAAAACAAATTATCTGGATTAATGGTAATTGAAAAAGAAACAGTTAACGCACAGTCAATAAAAACACTGCATTAGCATGCAGATCAAGCAGGTCTGCACAGTCGAATTGCTGCAACAGTCTCAGTCTCCATTTACCTTCGCTGTCAGACATGGCGCCTTGCAGGTCATCCATGATGAATGCGATGTCTCTATCATATCCTCGTGTACGAGATTCCTCTCTCATATGTTGTTGCACTTCAGGCAGGGAATGACTAGACCCAAATTGGTCCCTGGAATCGGCAGAAATGGGAGGAAGTGGACCAGCAGATGCTCTAGCCATACCCATAGGCTGCCCCACTGGGCTCAGAGGGCTTTCCTCCTCAGAGTTCTGAGCCACAATGGGGATGCGGCCCCGGCTTTGGCTGATAGGTAAACTAGTGGGCTTTGCTCTGGAGACTCCAGGGGCAAATGCTGCATCCAGGACCTCCCCTTCTGTTTTGAGTCTGAGTGAGGAACTGGACAGATCCCTTTTTATGGAAAGATCCAAACCATAGACAGATGATGGGCGGGAAGAGGGACGAGAGGAGGGGCGGGATCGAGTGCCACTTTGGTAGGTGCCATCATCCTGAGCAGTGCCTCTAACAGTGGAGCCAAGACTAAGGGATTGCCCAAGATTAAGAGAACCAGAAAGGTTAGATCCAAGGGAGGAACTCAAATATTTTTGCTGCTCAGACAAGTTTTTTCTGAGCCCAAATGTAATTTCATCCTGGAGTAACCTCGCTCTAGCTGCCAGACTGGATACAGAAGTAGTACCAGATCCTATGTAGCTACCAAAGTCAGGTTCCAGATCTCGACTTTCCTGAATTGGGGAAAATTTTGTAATGGCCTTGGAGTCTAGAAGGGCTTTTTTGTTTTTCATCTGTTTTTGGTAAAGGACTGCCGCTGGGAGTTGCTTTGCGGCCTGTTTTTCAAGAGTAAGTCTGCCAATGCTGTATTTTTCACCTTTAGGGAAATGGCGAAAACTGCTATCACTTGTAAGATAATGGGGAAGGCCTAGGCCTGTTAGGTGTTCAAGTCCCTCTGTTCCTCGCCTGAACTCTTGTTTTATTTGCTGCTTCAGTAGCTTCAGCTCATAAGGCTCCTCCATAGCATCATCTTCTCCTTTTCCATAACGCGATGTGCCTAAAAAGTCTGCCACCTAAGATGTAGAAAAAAATGTAGTCCAGTTTAGAATTTTTAAACAATAACAGTAACTCTTCTCCTCCTAATCTGATGAAATTGACAACTACTTATAGACAAATAGAGAATGTTTCCAGAGCATGTATTTGCCAAAAGTAGCTACAGTGAAGCCATACCATTTAAGATTTGGATGATTTAAATAATAGGTCTATAAGTCAAATGTAATATTTTAATTATATCATCAAGTATTAATAATAAAAATAATATAGTAATTTGTTAAAACTTTGCAAGCAGTATTTTGTTTTAAACTATACAGGCTGAAATACAGCAAGACAAAAAGTACAATTGCCAAACAATTTAAATGTACAGACATGAAATGATGAATATGGTGTAAAATAGAATCCAATACAAAAACACAGTATTTACCTCTGTGGTGCGCCTGGCTTCAGTTGCCCTGAGTAGTCTGTCTGCTTTTGATAGCTCCTTATCAGGGAGGTTGAATCCAGATCCCAATCCACTACTGCCTAGCCCTGTTGAGGCTTTGGTGAGTTCCCCTATGTCCTCTATAAGGACGTAGTTCCTGGCATTGTGGTGGTCAATATCAGTATAAAAGGAATCAGCTGAAATGCTGGACATGGGACTGGAGGCCATACTCCTCTCTTCTAATCCTACTCTCAAGTCCAAGCTGCCATACTTGCCCCCTAAGTGAGCCACTCCATAGCCACTCTCTGTAGAGGTTGGAACTATGAGTAAAGGTTGGTTGCGTATTACTTCATAATTGGTGGCAATTTTAGGTCCCAAATCTGACAGGGTGGTTTGACGCTGCTTTCCTTGCTGCAGTAGCAAAGCATGTTGGTAACTGCTTGACTGTTCCTGGTCATGAGCGAGGGAGAGTGTTGGGTAGGGAGAGACCTGTTGATGGTATAGGGACTGCTGCTGGTACAAGTTTTGCTGAGTGTAGTGACTGGTGGTTTGGGTCTGAGGAACAAATTGACCATAGTGTGAATATGGACTAGTTAGTGTATTGTATTGGGAATCAGCCTCGGTTTGTGGAGGAATGAATTGGTCAAATTCTGACTGAGGAGCAGTTCGTGGTCTCTCAAGGCCATCACTTCTAGCATCTCTGATGTTGCCAACCTCACTGTCTGACATGTAGTCACGTTCTTCTGCCACCCCCTGAAGATAGGCCCGTTCCCTTTTTTCTCTCTCCTTCAACAAGACCTCCTTGCGGCGGTTTATACCCATCTCCAAATACCTAAAGTAGCATAAAAAAAATTCAAAAATAAAGCACTAACAACACTGGAGGCACACAATATTCCATTTTCTCACACATTGTACCTGTTACTATGTTTAAGAGTGGAGAGGTCTCATTGAGTGTTGTCAAGGCAGTCTTTTAGCCCATAAGCTATCGAGGTAAAAAGGGAATCATGCACATAAAAATAAAAGCAATGAATGCAATGATGTCTGTGATTATTTTTTTTGTAAATGTTTGACATTATTTTTAAATAGAATAACATATCAGACAAATAAAAAGCCCACATCACTCAGCCACTTGCTTTATTATTAAATGTGTAGCAACTCACCGCAACTTAGCATCAATTTCCTTTTCTTCTTCATCTAGCTCAGCTTGTTTCTTGCGAAGTTTAGAGGATTCTCTTTCAACCAGATCAAGTTCTTTGTCAATATCTTGCAGAATCTTTGCCCGGGCCAATGTTGTGCTGCGCGCAAGACGGCGACGAGCAGAGTTGGTGCTGTAGCCTGATCTTCCAGTCAGAGAATCATCCTCAGGAGGTGGGTCTGGCAGTGTCCGCTTTACTTTCTTACTGGTACCAGAGGGAGAACCCCGACCCTATGAAATATAAACAAATCACACATCAGCAAGTGATAAAAAAATACATATATATACTGTATATATATATATATATATATATATATATATATATGGAAAACACTATTGCATTATTCTCACTATATTTAAAGTGTTGAATAAACTGTAATGTGTCTAAAAATTAATTACTATTTTGACATGTTGACACATGATGGACTGACAGAGACAAACACATGAAGGACTCTAACACACACACGATGGACTAACACATACATGATGGACACTGACACACAAACACACACATGATGGACTCTGACACACAAACAATGGACTCTGATATGCACACACACACAATCACACACACACACACACACACACACACACACAAACACTCAAGGCAGACTATTACACACACTTGATGGACTATGACACACAAATACATTACGAACTCTGACACACACACAACCTAAACCTGTGCTACTTTTTGTATTTATTCTTTACTTGCAGGTTTTGCTATCTGCTCAAGTTTTTGCATTTTTGCACCTCACTAAGTTTTTATGTCTGCTGTTATAAAAAATAGAAAAACTTTGTGCTGCTAACCACATATCAGAAAATGTTTCTCCCTAAAGTACCACCTTACACATGTACTAATCAACATGTCTCTATCTTGTCTCTTAATTACTTCTTTAGATTAAAATGTTTAGATTAGGTCAGATGTATTTTGGCATTTATTATAGGTCTGTTTGTATTTATTGTACAGTTGCGTATCTGCACTGTGTGTTGTATTGTTGTTGCACTTTATGTTGTGTTGCATCGTGATCATGGAGAGTGCTGTTTCATTTTTATATGTACTTGTACGTAGCTGAAATGACAATAAAACCTCTCTGACTCTGACATTACATAGTATTTTATTCAAACAGCTTTTAAATACTTACAGAATAGCTGTCTGGGTAGTATCCTCCCATCCTGTCTTCTGTTGAAGGACTAAGCGATTTAGGATCAGACAAAGACTTCTGCCCAGCTTTTAATATCCGAGGGCCAGAAGAAAATCTGGTTGGATCAGCAGTTAACATTCTCTGCCCCCCATACGACTTTTCAGGGGATAAGGGAGAAACTGAAGTGTAGAATACTTTAGATTTAGATGGGACATCTGCTGTCAGTTGTGTACTGTATCCCACCTCAATGGGTGAATGCCTTCTATCTGAATCTGTCTGACAACTCAGACTACCACCTCTCTGAGAGTTTTCTGGAGCTGATATATGCTTAATGATTTCTACTTTTGTGTCCATTTGTACATTTGGTCGTTTAATAGTCCCAGAATGGTCAGTCTGAACAGATATTTCTGCAACTGTCTGAATGGCAATGCTAGACACCTTGGAGCCATGTTTCCCCTCACTGCTATGCTTTCGAGAGCGTCGTCGAACTTTGGTGGGTGCATCCCACTCATCTTGGTCTTCATCATCAGACTGAGCTGAACTCTCGATGTTTTTCTTAAGCTTCTTTTTTCTTCCCATATGCTGTTTCTCAGCTGAGTCTTCATCATCTGTTTGCACTCCACTATCAAGTATTTTTTTCCCAATATCCTTATCAGCTTGAAGCTTTATTAAGTTAAGATGTTCATGACTTTCTTCTGTATGTACCTCTGTTGATGGAGGAGTGGATTCATCTTTGACAGGCCAATATTGACCACTGTCCCCTACTCCTGCATATTTAGCTTCTAAAAGATTTCTTGTTGATCCAGTGCTGCCATAGTGCTCATCTAGCTGGCGCTGAAGTTGAAGTTGAAGTTGTTGGATTTGCTGTAATTGCTCTTTCTGTTGAGCGTACGTTTCTTGCTGGGCCACCATGTGGGCATGATGCTCTTCTTCTTGTTGAAGGAGAAGCTGCTGTTTTAGAGCTTGAAGTTCTTCAAGCTCCCTTTGAACCATAAACTGCTCCTGTTCTCTGTAACGTTGGATTTCTTGCCTTTCCCATTCCAGCTCCTCAGCAAGACATAGCTGCTTAAGCTTTTCTAGCTCTAAAAATTCCCTCTCCATCTGATATTGGGCCATCTTAGTGTTGTCTAAGCCAGGAAATATTGGGGAAGAAGCTAAGACATCTAAAGAAGCAGCAATTGCTTCCAATGTGGTATCTGAGTACATCTCTGGATAGCCAGATATGATGTCAGCCAATGTTAGAGGGAGAAGTTCCTTAGACAGCTCAGCCTCAAAAGGAACTAACTGACCTGGGTCTGTAATAGGAATAAATCCATATTGGGGTAGTAAGGACTGGTCTTGGGCTTTTGATGTAGGTGTTAAGGTGGTACTAAAAATGGAACCTGGTTGAGTTGTAATTGCATATGTAGATGGAACTGGTGCAGCAACAGAGGAATAAACTATTCCATCTGACGTTCTTAGAGCGCTGTTCACACCAAACCCAGCTGCAGGGACCTGGGAGTATGGAGCAGTAATGGAGGAGTAGACTCTGGCTGCTTTGCTAGTGTAGTCAAGGGCTCCACCTGTCACAATAGGTCCAAATATAGAGATTTTTACATTTCAAGTTTACTTGTGTACACTGTTCAGTTTATTGTATTATACATGCAAATTTGAGGTTACTTTGGCTAGCAAGATGCAAAGCCAAAATACTGAGGGATAACACGTAGGCACACACATGCATCTGTATAAAAGAAAAAGAAAAGAATACATGCAGCTGTTATTGTTTAAGAAATTCAGGCTTAACACACAGCAAAAACTAATTGAACAAATAAAAACATGCACATATAGTCTTAAATCTCAAACAACCACATTCAGTCAACATCAAATAAATGCCCAATACTTTAAAGGGAAAATTAAAGTGTTAAATAAAAGTTAAATCTCAGGCAAATAAAACCTCTTCAAGCACATGTACTATTGAGTTATAAAATACTGAACACAAACAAAATATCCACATACTCACCGGCTGAAATTTTAGTAGCAGTTAGGTCTATAGCACCATCTGAAGATCCAGTGAGGTAGTCAGAGTCACTTTTGAGATCATACAGAGACAGCCCTGCCTCTGTCAAATTGTTGTCAGACACTGATGCTTTTATACCATTAGTTCCTTTTATACTGTACAGTCCGGCATTGTTGTATTGATAGTGATCATCCCTGTATCCAAAACGATTATCAGGCTGGATAGTGATGGGTGGTTGGGTTCTACAGCTTCCTGTAAATGGTAGCTTGTAAATTACATCACAGCAGATGCTTCTCCGACCAGCAGTAAGGTCCATTGGAATTCCATCATCTTCTACAATTGAGGTCACTACTCCTGGGCTTGTACCAGACAAAGCTACCATAGCCCTTACAGGCCTGTAGTTTGACAAATCCATGGCTCCTGTAGCCTCAAGAGAAATAAATGCACCCCCATTGCTGATAATTGTTGGTGCTGAGGTCATTGGCTGTTTTTCTTCAGAGACCAGTCCTTCATAGGAAAGATTAATGGGTAGATCTGGAGCTGTAGAAACTACAGTATTGAGCACAGGCTGGGTCCTTACAGGTCTGTAAACAATTTGTGCTAATGGTTCAAATGGTTTGTATGTGGTGAGAGGCACAGGCAATGATGCAACAGGACCTTGCAAATCAAGGGGTTTTTCTGCTGGAGTGTTGCTATATGAAGCAATAGTGGCTGTGCATGTCACTATTGTGATGCTGTCTGTGACAACAGACAAAGTTGTTGTAGGGGTCATTTCTGCACTAAGATTAACTATTTCAGGTTGCACTGTAGTACTTTGACGTCCACTAGAGTCACTTGAAAAAGAGTGACAGCATGACACAGGTGGAGTAAGGTCCATACCTTGCTTTGTCATCTTTATGCCAGACTTGGTAGTACGTAAATCAATAACATCACCAGGATATATTATTTTACCATTTTCTTTAGGTAAAGGTTGGACTTTTGCTATGTCTGGTTGTATAGTGATAGCTACACTTTGTGGATGGACCTGAGGAAGTCTTTCATGGACAACAGAAACAGTTGTCCTTTGGACTTCAGTGGTGACTACCTGAGTAACTAGGCTAGAGAGACTTTCAGGAGTCTGACCTGAGGTGGAAATTGAAGAATACATGTGACTCATACTAGAAACCACCTTTTCTGTTCCTCTAACTTCTTGACTCTCAATTGACTCTTGCTGAATTTTAGTGAAAGTCACTGGTGCTATAGATACACCCTGTGTATTATCCTTTGCAGATGACATTGAAGTCCTCCTTCTGTATTCCTCAGTGGTTAATATTTCAACTGGATAGTCATATTCAGATGAATAAGATGATATATGAGGTTGTTGTTCTGTTGATGGGATATATTTACTCTCATATGAGACTTGAGCTACATAGTCATTTGTGGGGACATCTTTTTCTGCTGGCATTTTTAGTATTTGTGCAAATGATAATGGTTGTGTTATAGTTATTGATTCTTTTCTGGAAGCAGCACAGGCCTCAGTTGTAACCTCTTGCAGAGGCATTTCGTACTCTGCAGGATAGGTAAGTAAATCACTTTTGGAGTATGGTTGATGTTCTGTAGATGATGATGTCCTTCTTCTACATTCGGTGTCATCAGTTGTAGTAACTGAGATTCCTGTTGTTGTCTGGTGATGTAACTCTGAAGGAAATATTGGATGTCTTCCTTCGTTTGAATCCATTGTTATAAATTCAGTAGGTGTTTCATGTTCAAGCTGCAAAGCTTTGATTTCCAGGGATGGCAGGGATGGAGCTGACATCACAGAAGATGCATTTATCCAATATTCCTGGGGAAAATAAGTAACATCTGGGTGTTTTTCCATTTGCTGATCTTCCATCACATGAAGTGCTGGTGTTGTTTCAGTAGTTGCATGAGTTGCCATTTCAGCTACTCTTGGTATAGGCAGTACCTGAGACAGCTGAGGTGTTGGTGTAATTTCATCTACTATTGTAGGAGGATGAGGAACTGGAGAAACCACGGCTACTTCTGGTACTCTAACACCAGTCTCAACTGTAAAGAGTTCTGTGAAATAGTCAGCTTTTGTAGAGAAAGTCACTCCTTCAGGCACACAAATTGCCTGTTGTGTAGAAATGTCCTCTTTTACTATGGGCATAACTTTTGTATCTTGACCAATTTGTGTTGTCACTTTGTGATCCGTCAAAGGTTGAAGATTTGATTCTGAAGATTTCTTTGGAACTGTGTCTGTGACTAAGACATGAGTAGGTTTATTCTGTTCTTCCTGTACAATTTCTATTTGTGATGGATCTTCTTGTTGAAGAACAGCTGAGTGTACTGAAGTTGGTCTACCTTGGACAACAACCACATCTAACAGTAGTTCAGGCTGCTGTGGTACAACTACAATTTCTGTCAAAAGCTCTTTTTGCAATGGTGAAATAGGTTTTAAAGCTTGAGGAAACACTTCTGGTAAAATAGTTGAATGAACTGATTCAGCTTCTGGGACTATGCTTGGCTGTTCAGGAACAAATGACATTGATTGTTCTTTTGTTATGGTTTGGTCTGTATGAGGCTGAATATAAGCTTTTTGTTCCAGGGGCATTTTGATGACTTGTGACACTGTTTCGGGTGATGGCTGAAACATTGATTGTTGTTGCTCTATATGTAATTTCTTGAATGAAGGAGCTACAGAGTGAGCTTGGATGGGAGTGCCTTGATCTGATGAGACTGTGATCACATCAGCCACAGGGAGTGGTGGTTTGACAGCAAACATAAAAGAGTCTCTCCTGGGTTGTATATTTGTAGCCACTTCCTCAGAGGTTGTCACATACTCAACAGCTAAAGTTGAAGCCACAGTAATTGGAGGCGGATGCTTTACAGATGGAACAGAGGCTCTTCTAACTGTAGCTTGCACTGAGAAAGGCTCAGTTGGGGTTTTCTGCTCAGCTTGTGTTGTCTGTGCCTTTGACACTTTTGAAGATGGGATTGATCCTTGCCTAATAGGTGCCTGAACTGTTACTGTCTCTGTTGGAGATCCAGGTTCAGAAGGAAGAGTAATTACTACATAAGTTTGTAAGCTTTTGCTATGTCTGGGGGACAAAGGTGACTTGGGAGAAGTTGTTCCAAATTTAGAATCCACAGGACGTGTCAGGCTAAGCGACAGAGCTTTTGGAGGCTCCTTCATCCTGGGCAGTGTTGCTGCTTTTGGTGCCACAGGAGGAGGGGGCGGTTTGACATGTTCTCCTGGCTTGTGGCTGAAAACCAGTCCAGCTGGAATTGATACGGGCTTAGGAGGTATGGGTGGTGGAGGCTTGAAGGCCTGGTAAAGACCATGTGTTACAGAAACTGGTGCAACAGTAACTGTAGCATTTGTGACTGGAATGGAAACTGAGGACTTTGCATGAACAGCTGCTTTAGGTAAAATAGAAGGAGGTAATGAAGAAGAATCTGCACTAGGTATAAAATGGGCAAGATTTGCTGCCTCTGGAGGTTTAGGTGAAAAAGATGGACTTGAAACTACTTGCACAGTTGACACCTTAGGTGGCAGTGAGGTTATACTTGTTTTTTGTATATCCAAAATTGAATGTGCAGTATTATATGCATGATCATCAACTTTGGAGCCTGTGCTATCTACAATATGTGTAGTTTGTCTAGACCCAAGTGGAGGTATGTTTTCCACACTTGGCACAATGATGACTACATGTCCTTGTCTGGCTTGGGTCACAACTTGAGGTACAGATGCACTATCTGATTGATTTATTTCCATTCTTGGCTGTATATCCACAACTACAGATTGCATTGGCTGGGAGGCCATTTTGGTTTTGATAACTGATTTAGTTGACACATCATCAGTCTTTGCAACCGGCATCTCTTTGGGAATCTCTGGCAGTGATACAGAAGTAGATCGAGGAGGAGGGGGTGGTGGGACCTTCTTTTTTATTACAGTAGTTGACGTTGAAGCTAATGGAGGCCCCTGCTCTGTCTGAGCTTGTGCTGAGACTATTACTGGTTTCATTAATGGAATTGCTGACTGTACAGGAATTGAGTGTATTACTTTAGCATGGGGTTGAGCTGGGGTAGTTATTAGAGCTGAAATTGGCTTGGGGGTTTGTGCAACAATTGGTGCAGTTGTTGAAACCAGGTCAGGCATCTGGATTATAACTGGCTCAGGAGATGATACCAGACTGACAGAGAATGAAACATTTGTGGTTGAAACTGGGGTTGTGACCATAACAGGTATAGTTGTAACTTGGGCAGTATGCTGAGATGAGACAGCAACAGGAACTGGACTTGGTGCTGAGACTTGTAAAACACCTGTAACTTTATTGGGGACCTGAGAAGGAGATGAAACTAAGTCTGGCATTTGGACCTCAACACATATAGCAGTTGATTTTTCCACTAGGGGTAGAATTGGGGCTTCAGCTGTAGAAGACTTAATTTTAATATCCTCAGTTGTCTGAGACTTGGATGGATCAGATACCAAATCTGGTATAGTAACTATAACAGTTGTGGAAACTGGACAAGGGAATAAAGTTTCACTGAATTGTAATGCTGACATTGGGTCAGACAACTGTACAGAAGATTCTGAAGGCACCTGGTCTTTAAATGACATTGGAGGTGTTGGTGTGGACAGTGGAGTTGAATCTGATGAAAGAGGTGTTTGAGGCTGAAATGAGGAAGAAGATGTTGCATTAGAAGCCAAACTGGAATCTGGTGTTGCTGGTGAAGTTGGGACTGAAACTGGTGATACTGTAGAAGGTGTTGTGGTTAGTTCTGGGGCTGATATTGGAGTTGGAATTGGTTTTGGCTCAGGCATTTCACAAACCACACAAATAGGCTCCATTTCAGTGGTTTCAGACAATGGTGGACTTAAGGATGGGTCATCTTTAGTATCAGAGTCATCACTAGGGGTAATGTCAGAAGAAATGCCTATAGCATACTCATCTGCAAGACTGTCATCTTCTTCCTCACCAGATGAACACTGAGTAATCTTGAGGTCTGGTATAGGGAACAATGCCTTTCTCAGTGCAGGATCCTGAGGAACCATAGGTCTAACAAAACTTATAGATCCACTTGGAATAGCTGGAACAACAGTTGCCACAGTGCGCTTAGGGGGTTCAGTAGGGCGTGGAGGTGCTGGACGTTTCTTTTTCTTTACTGGGAATTCACTTAATGTGTCCATGCCAGTGGGAGGTGTGTCACTTAGTCCAGCAATGTGTGCCTCTTCTGAAGACATGGTCACCACACATGTTTCAGCCTCTGATGGAGGCATGTGGCCCAAAGCCCCTGGTGAGGAATATTCCATTGCTGTTTGGGCCTGTTGAAATTCCTGCTCTATCATCATTAATTCCCTCTTTTTTTGCATCATCTCCTCATAAACCTCCTCTGGGGACCTAAGTTTTTTGATAGATTGAGAGTCACTATCAATTTGTTCGTCTTCTTGAAATCCACTTTGTTTGATTTCTGGGTCTTCAACTAAAGACTCATAAAGGTAATCTTCTATTGCCATTCCTCCATAAAGTGGTTCAATATCTGGGGGACTCTCTCCTGGAATAGATTTTGTTTTCTGAATAATTTCTTCATATGCTTCCTCAGCACTTTTTAGTGATTTTGGTATAGTGTCATTTTCTTTAAATTGATCAGCTGGAGTGTATGGTATGACTGTAGCTGAAGGTTTACGTCCTCTCTGTACAGCTGCCCTAACCTCTGGATCTGATTCTACACTGGCAGAGTACTCCGAGCCAGATGTTCTATGACTTTCATCAATTACGGTTACTTGTTTTAGGTCTTCTGTGGAGGATGCATTTTCAGAGGAAGATGTTAGTTCACTATGTGTCTTCATTTTTTCTTCATCAGAAGAGTTTTCAATGGTTGGTAAAGGATGTGGTGATTGTTTGTGTCTTCCTTTAAAATGATGTTTGTTCCCTCTGACTTTCCTGTGATGGGGACTGCTATCACTGTCCTCCTCCAAAGATGAGACTGATGTTGGTGAAGATCCTGGAGTTATACTAGATGCCTGAACACTAGTTGAACCCTTTGACAAAGATTCTGTAATGCTCTCAACTTCTTCGTCTGTGCTTTGCCTTTGCCTCATGGCTGGAATAGCTTTTTTGAAAGTGGTCATGGGTATTGTTTCTGGAACATTTTCAATAGTTGTGGAATCCTTAATGTCTGTTTCAGCTTCTTGAGATAGAAATGTGTCTGGTATAGAATCATTATCAAGGGTAGTCTTCTCGAGATCTTCTACATTTGCCATATAATTGTCTTTCTCATCTTCAGATACAGACATTTTCTTCTCATCTCCCATGCCTAAAATCTGCTTGCGAATGAAATCATCTTCTTCAATAGAGGAATCAGCACTTTCTGTTTTGATATCATCACTGCTGGATGAAACAGTGATAACCTTCAGCATTTTCTTTTTAACAAGAGGGGAAGATGGCGTGAGGTCACTTTCACTGCTCTCATCCATTGCTTGTACACTCAGGCGTCTTCTCTCTGATTTAATTTTTTCCTCTACTGCCATAGTTGAATCTATATTTATATATTTTTTGCTTGCATCTCCTGAATGCCATTCAATCACTTCCTGCACTACAGGTAAAATCTGTGGTTGATCTTCATCGGACTCTTCTGTCCTTAGACTGAGTTTGATTTTTGTTTCCGCATTATCCATTTTTTCCATTTTAACTTCTTCATTAGATGGAGATATTTTTCTTTTATTCATTGACTTTTCATCTCTTACATCTTTATCCTAGAAAAAAATAAAATAAAGCAATGAGTTTCAACATATTGCACTTAGTATGTTGTACACATAAAATAAAAATAAAAAATCACTTCTAGAGTCTTGAATTATCATTGTAATTAAAGCTTTAAACTTGAGCTGAAAGGTACATGTTTTTTGCAGGATATATGCACAAAATATATATCTTTATGCTATTTTATTTTGAATCATGTAAGAATGTGACTAAGGTTACACAATGTCTGCCAGTTTAATCTTCATTTCAACAGAATGACTGTTAAGTAGAAAAAAATAATGCATGCATAGTGTGACTGTAATAAATCTCTTTAAAATTTAATCAGTATCTAAGTAAAATAAAACAAAGTCTACATAAATATGTAGGCTATATATTTTGTATCCAGTCATTTGCTCTAAACACCTAACTTCATATCTCTTGTTAAACAATAAACAAAACAAACAAACAAAAAAAATCTTACTTCAAGTTTGTCCTCTGTAGATATTTGTTGTGATTTTTGGGTTGAGATTATGTTGTTAATGTTTTCTTCTGTTTTAACCACATCCTTGCTTTTAGCTGCCATGATTGGTTCTGCTTCTTTTGTCAGTTGCTGTTCTTGTAACTTCAATGGCAGTTGAACTTGCTGCAAAGAATGTGTTGGTTCTTTTAGTTTGATTTGATCAGAAGCTTGAACCTCTGCAACAATACTCTCTGGAACAGGGGGCTTTGGCTTTCTTTCTTTCTCTGGATCAACTTCTGACACTGCAACCTTTGAAGCACTAGGGGCTATGGGGACACTTTTATCCCCAGACCTTGGAATGGGAGATGTCCGTGTTTGTGCATCACTTTCAGTTTTTGGCTCTTGCAATTTGGAGATTACTGTTGCATTATCTATCACCACTATCTCATCTTTGCTTTTTACATTTGTCATTCCAAGTAATTTGGTGTTTTGCATTTCATCTTCTAGTATTAAAGGTTCTAGTGCAGATGTACAAGGTAGATTTTCTGCAGCAGAAGGTGGAATTTTTACTGAGATGGATGTAGGTGTTGTTTCAGGTTCTCTTTGTTTGGAAGATATGGACTCAGCAGTTTCCATCTTGTCTGTTTCTGGTTCTGCTTTTGCTTTGGTACTTGGTGGCATTTCTACTGTCTTGGTTGGAATGGGAACAGGTTGTTTTGTGGCTGAAGTTGTTGGCTCTACTTTTATGGGTGCAATTTTGGGCTCTGTCATATTGGCTGTGGGTATAGTCTGGGTCTCTGGCTTGGCAGCCGCATGTGTAGGTTGAAGCATTATTCCAGAACCTCCCAGCGCTCCAGACAAGGCTCTTTGAGTCTGGCAGTTCAAACACAGCCATTCCTTCTGTAAGTAAAGAACAAATATATTAACATTAACTTTATAAACACAATACAATACAAAACTTGAGAAAGTCACAATAAAGTTCCAAAAAAGTTATTTCACATGTATCACTTGTACAACCAATTGCATTGCATAAGTGTGTACTAAATTAATATTTTCCCCATTCCTCACAATATTCCTAATAAATAAGCAAATACAATTTTACAAAAGATGAGCAAAATTGATTTATTGTGACAAGCAAACCTATTAAACTATTTTAATAAACAAATTCATAACCAACATTTTGTATTCATACAGCTGTACTTTAAAACACTTGCTTTTTACTAAAACTCTAATTACTGTGTTTCTTTATAGATGCAATGATCTTTGGTAATTGTATCCTCATTTCTTACTATATTTATCTGGTGTTAATGACTTTGGAAGGTTTTGATTTATTACATTTTAAAATTTAGTTCTTCAAATCTAGTGACATGAGAATCCAAGAGCAAAATGGGTCTTCAGTTTGTGATACACTGAGTAGTATCCAAGCCAGGAAAATAAATTGTATTTTCTCATTCTGTGCTTGCTCTTCCCAAATGGTACCATTTCAAACATTTTAACAAATTTCGCTGACAACATACTTGTCCTCTTTAACCAATTACAAATATCTGTAACAAGTATATAAGCAAACAAAATACCTAAGCTGTTCCATGGAAACCACAATAATAAATCAATGTGATAATGTCTGACAGACTAATAACACATTAATATAATGTTTAGACTACTGTTTTCTACTAAAGAGACTAATTTCCACTATTCAAAATAAAATAAATATAATCACAGGAGCACATGAAAGGTTTATGATGATAGACATAGGTGGGACATCTTTATTCAAAACTTACTTCAGAATGGGGATGAATGATGAAGACATAAGGAGATGTGAAAGAAATTATTCCAAATAAAACCCTAAAGAGATTATATACTATGTTATTAACAGCTGGTCAGCAGGAAGACCAGGGGTGATCTGCCATTAAAAGTGAAGGATAATTTGAAAACAGAGAACTTTGTTTTAGCATAAAAACAAGATATTTTAATCATTTATTTTTAGTAAACATCAAATCATTTTAAATTGAATTGTATTTTTTATTAAACCTTTAATTTCCATTTATATTGTTAAAAAAATTGTTAGGCTATTCTGTAGACTGATATTAAAGTTACATGCTAATTGTAATATGTCTCTAGTGTATAGGCAAGTTAATTATTTTGTATTCAAAAGGTTCTGTTGAGTAAAAAAAACTAAAAATGCATATCACAGATAACTACATAAATACACAAGTTTTTAACACTTTTTAAAAGACCAAATATTTCCTACAATCAAGAGAAACTAACAAGCAAACAAAAACAACTGATATTATCAGAAAGCACTTGTGCTTGGAAACATGGGGATTTTTTAAAGAAGTAACAAAAAGTGAAATACAAAATAAAACCAAACAAAACTCTGCATTACATGATGCAACCTGCTGATTTTGAGTAATACTGTTGTAATGCTAATGTCAATAATGCTAGGCCTTGCTGTGACGAAGAACAAAAGTTTTCACAACTGAATCTGCCTTTCACTTAGTGATGGAAAGCAAAATGAAGCTGCAACAGTTTGTTTTGCTGAGTAATACCACTGCAAGCACAATATTAAAAATCAGTTTCCACCCGACATAATCAATGCTAAAAGTCAACACATTCACACATGAACATGTTTCAAATACAATGTCCATTAAAGGCTATAAAATACACACATGCACAGCAACCAGCTTTTATATCACCAGTATGACAGCAATAAAAATGCTTACCTTGCAAAAGAGCTAATCGCATGTTCTAATGAATAATCTTTGCTTCCAATGCCCTGTAGACATTTTCTATCACATTTATGTGCCATTAATTGACAGTTAAAGAAGAGAGGAATGCAAAAGCTGTCAACAGATAAGGCAGCATGTCTGTTGTAGAAATCAGCAGACAGAATCACAGCAATGCGCTAACCTCTGCAGAGCCAGCAAGAACCAACAGAGTGGAAGATTACACTACACACATATTCTGTGAAACACAGTGGATATTTACTTCCTTTTATCAGCTATAACTGGTTGGAACTTGTAAAAAATTAGCACTCTATTATAACAACAGTAGACATAAGTGTGTCTTAATGTTTATGTATTTTATTAACAGGTATAGTGTGTGAATGTATGTTTTAACGGACGTTATTCAGATTAGCACTGATGCATGATGCAGTAAGAAAAATATTGGCATAATTTAGTCAATAATGTGGGGAATTGAGTAAGTGATTTCCTTTTTGTACTGCTTTTAAAGCCAACTTTTCTGGACATTTTATTTTTGTTTTAACAGTTTTCAATTTTATATCCATAGATCTACATGACATTTCAAATGAACAGATACAGCATTTGAAAATTATTGGCCTAATATAATAAGTGAAAAATAAATATATAACATTGCCTCAGTCAGTTTTTTGTTTTGTTTTGTTTTTTGTCTTTAGAATATTTCAATAAATATTTGAAAATGAACAAACTTTCAGTGGATAAGTGCAGTCAGGGGAGGCAGGCGAGGCAGTGTCTCATCTGTCATCATAACAAGTAAAATACTAATAATTATAAGAGAAAATACATTTGACCACTTCACTGTTCTACAAAACTGTTTTATAAAACTGTTTTCTGAATTATTTCAACACTGCAAAGGTCAAAATTGCAGAATTTATGCATTGCCTGTTCAAACATGCAAGAAATGTGCTGGATGAGGCCGTGTATTTCTCTGGTTCACTTCTGGGAGCGCTGTATGAAGTAGGCAGTTGGTGCATGCCCATTGCTGTCACTCTTTATATCGCTAATATCATGTTTGAGTACACGTGCTACACATGTTGATGTTCTAGTCTGTCTAATATATTGAATGAATGTGTGTGACATATATCTGCTTTTTAATCGGTCATAAATGCACAGTGAAAATACACAGGGGTGAGGCAGAAAGTACCTTGCTGCACCGATAGGGGGCAGTGCTGGCCCACAGGGACAATGAAGCTGGTGCAGTCGCTGTGCATTCTTCTGTTACATGGGGGTGGGGCAAACGGTACACTCATTTACATTTGTTTAGTCAAAATGGAAGATCATATCTCAAAACTAAATTATTTTTCTAAACTCAATTTTCAGTCGAAACCGAAGGTATTAGAAAGAGGAAGAAAATATGGCTAAACTGAAATATAAGCTTCTAGTTTGGATTCATATATGTGAGCATCCGATTCCAGACGAGTCAGTGCCTCACCTGTCACAAACCTCACCGCACGTCACTGTGCCCACATGACTGTGTGCATTAATGCTAACATTATGCCTGCTAAATTGTGAAGAACAGCAAGATGTTATGAAAGCATGTTTAGCTGCTTGGCCATAAAACAGCTTCATTGACTAATACATGTTCATGACATGCATACATTATTATGAGCATAACAGCAAATACACAATCTTTGATGAAAATGTTTAAGTTAATGCAATATGTACTTCGATCTTAAATTATCTTTGACGCTTAGATGAAACTAGTGACTTCTGTTTCAGTCATTGGTGGTTCATTCCTGTTTACATCAATAGTAAGAATACTTTATTAACACAAAGCATGATGCTTGTAATTATGCCAACTAGTAATTAAATCTGATTTTGATTGTGATCTTTTACGTGCTCACCTGTGGAGATGTTTACTCATGTAGTCGGGAAATAAAAATTTACAACAGCTCACATTAAATCCTTGCTGAAGAGCCTTTTCTGTGTAGAAATGTATTTTAAAATGATGAAACAATACATCGTACAGAACAATTCAACCAGTCCAAAGAAAAACTAAACAATCTTTTCCTATAGTTGTGCAATAACCTCTAAGGCACTGCAAGTGTGCACCCAGCTTCAAACTAGCATCTGTAATACAATCCATGTTTATGATTCTTGTTCATTGGCTCTGTCACACCCGCAGCCCTTAATCCCATTTTATAGGGTCAGCGGACGCGTGCGGCCGATGATGATCAGCTGATCCATCTGAAGCTTAACAGAACTTTTACCTCTACCGGCCGGTTGAACCTGCCTCCACCTCAGCAAGTAGATTAACACATTATTCATAAAACCGCATCAAAGAAGCCCGAGCTGACATGCGCAATTATTTCGCAATGCGTCAGCACGTTTTAAAAATGTATTGGCTGTGCTGGTGTATTGCTGTAATCTGTGACGAGAGCCACCAATAAAGCATGGCGAGCTGCATGTGGCTTGCAAGCCATGCAATGACTATCCCTGCACTACAGGAAGAAAGTAAACTAACAAGGACAGCAGGATGCAATAGGTAATGTTCTACTGGAAAAACTTCTTCCACTCATGCTGACGGTACATTTACTCATACTACCAGACTACATGCTGACCAAGAACAGCACTTAATTGAAATTGAATTAACCTGACTGCACAGACATCTTCAGCATTATAGTGTACCCTGATACACAGCAATAAAGGTTCAACCCAACAGTGAGTTTGAGTTGACTTTCTCTTAAAAGTCTCAATATCTCTGTCATGTTTTTGTCCTGAGATGTGCTAGACCAGCAGTTCTAATTATAAAAAGTCCTATCTCCACACTAAAGATACAAATGATCTACAGCATATGGGTTGATTTGCTATAAATGATGGTCTACTCAACATGTGCTCCAATCAACCATAATCTTGTGACTGGTGTATACAAGTTGTGAAGAGGCTACATATACAGATAGTGTATGTCTCTTCTCTTGCACTGATCATCTTTATCAAATTCACATCACTTAACCCTAAATCCATCGAGATTCTTTGGCAATTTCTAAACCAAATGAATGCTTGAAAGATAAACTACAAAAGTTGTAAATTATATTGTGTATCTTCTGCTTATCATACTGTACATATTTTAATATGACGTTACTTTAACCTTTAACGAGATAAATGGCATAAATTAACAAAAAACAAAAAAAAAGGATTTTTACAAATAGTAATAAATACTACTTTTGACAACAGATGACAAAGACAAAGAAGACGAAAATAGTAGTAGTAGAAATAAAAAATAACCATACACTTTAGCATACTTTACTGCATCTCACTAACTCTGTTTAAGCCATGGAACCACAGCTATGGATCTTGGAAAGTTCCCATCATCCTTTTGTCTAATTAAATCTGGTCTATGAGTGAAGCACAGCAGTTCCATGCTGAGCGCTGTGGGAGAGGCTGCCTTGCATGATTAGCCTTTAAGCTGGATTGCTAGACCATCACAATGACAGAAGTCAGGATATTAGCTCCCGACACACAGTTGTCCAGAATGTGCAACTGCAATCACAAAAGAAAATGTTGAATTTGCTTTCTTTAAAGGAAATCCGATAACTTTTAAGACGTTTATTTTATTTACTTAGTTAGTTCTTTTTTGACAATGAACTTTTTTTAGTTGTCAGTTTTTATAACTCATATAACTGAATTGCTATTTATGCTATTTATTTGGGAACACAATGTTTCCAGTCTCTTGTCTGTACTTCCTTTCTGTTGTTACTGGAACTGGTCAGGTTCTTATTGATTTTCTGGCAGATGCCTTTGGCTGAAGCTAAGATTGCTAATATACTTGGCTTTCAGCAGCCCCCACAGTGCTTAGCCCCTCATATATTAAGCCCTCCAAAAACAAAGAATGCAACTTACTGATCTGCAATAAGCAGAGTGCTTCGTTTTACACACAAGCTAATGCATCCCAAGCGCCGGTCTGTCAACTCAAGAATCAGAAAATGTCCCACCACAGTGGTTACAATAACAACAGGATTATTTTTTTTTTAATATGAAGTCACTGCGGCTTGAGGAATAAATATAATTACCTCCCTAAAGCAAAACACTGTCAAAAGCAGGTGCATGTAAATTAGTTGAAACTGATTTTAATCCACACACTTATAGAAAGTTATTTAATAATGTGTCACTGTTGCATCTAAAGGAAACTAATAAAAGTTTCAAATGTTTTCCCAAAATATATGAGTTAAAAGGATAAAAATAAGAATGCAGCTAGCAGGGTGGTCGTCTTTCAAAGTTTATTTGAAACATAAATTTATTTTAGGTTTGCGAAAGAGACACCAAACGATCACTTGGAGTTTCCTCTGTTTTTACATTTACAAATGAAATATGTCCTGTTTTTTTTTTTGTTCTTTATTTTTTGTTGTTGTTTTTTGTAGGGGAAATTAATTATTCTCTAAGAGCCTTGACAGCTGTTTTTGGAGCTGAATACTCAGTCGAGTTCCATCCAAGGCTTTCGGGACATTATGATCCTTCTGTAAGTAAAGGCATCATCTGGAAAGGGATTTTTCCCATGTCAGCTCAAAAATGTAAAGATGAGCTTTGAGCACCAAAACAACCAGTAAACTGAATTTCACTTAAAGGATGTAAAACGGAAAACAACTTTTATTTTTCACATATTTTTGAATAATTTTTTTTGTTTGATTTTTTTTCCCAATTCTTTGCACTCTCAAATTGTAATGCAGACTGTTACCTGAAGACGTATGCTAAGGTTGTAAAAATACAGTATGCACAAACAATGGACAAATAAATATTTTACAATTTGAAGCATTTTATGATGTATACAATCTATTGGTTGTAATATTTGAAACTGCCCCAGTTATGTTTGAAATCATTAACCTGTAGGAGATTCTGTATTTTCTTCCTACATCTCTTCAACACCAGATGACGCCAATCGGTTCACGCCTGCGGACCATTACCCTAATGAGCTGTAGGAGTAAACAAAATATATAACAAAACAGCCTTTGTTCTTCCTTTGCTGAAGGGAGGTGACCCCACCTCACTGAACAACTATCGGCCAATCTCTAAACTCTGCATTTTAGCCAAGGTTCTACAAAAACTGATAAACTCTCAAATCAAAAATTACCTGGACTCATTTAACATCTTATATCGCCTTTAATCTGGTTTCAGGAAACAACACAGCGCAACGACTGCCTCACTGAATGTTCTTAATGACGTTGTTGAAGCACTGGATGCTAAGGATTATTGTGCTGCAATTTTCTTAGATCTGCTTTTGATACTGTGGATCATAACATCTTGTGTCATAAGCTCTCAGAAATCGGTTTCTCAGATCACACCATTTGTTGGTTCTCTAACTATCTCTCAGACCAGAGGCAATGTGTTCAACATAATGGCACTTCCTCCAGTTATTTAACAGTCAACAATGCTGTACCACAAGGCTCAGTTTTAGGACCCACCCTCTTTACAATCTACATACGTAATGTTGGTAAAAACATCCCTGATGTATCCATACATTTCTATGCTGATGACGCAGTTGTTTATTGTTGAGCTAAAACAGTTGATAAGGCTTTCCAGCTTTTGAAATCTGCATTCAACTTCATCCAGACAGATTTGTTCCACCTCAAACTTGTCCTAAATGCAGACAAAACCAAAGGGATGCTTTTTTCAGCCTCTACTCCTGTTCTTCCCCTGCATCCTGGACCGCCTTGTTTCCATCGTGAACCTCCTAGTGCTTTCTCCAGTCATTCCTCACCTTCCACCACCTGCCCACCAATCCTTCCAGTCTCTCTGGGACCTCCTCCTACAACTACTGGAACGAATAGACTCACCCCTAAGAGAAACCCCCTTTCTTCTGCAATAAGCGATTATTATCAGAACCACCCTCAAAGAATCAAGCCATAACTGTTCTTGTTCTCCAGGGTTCCAATCCCTCCTACCTGGGTTGCAGTCTACTATTTATCATCCCACTTTGTACATAAACACTGTTAAAGTATTCTTTGGTCTTAGAGTTATTCTTTTCAATCACTACTATCTGGGTATTAAAGTAAATTCTTACATAACCGTCATCAATCTATAGCCCTGAGTTACTATTTGTGCATATGTTATTATTTTAACTTGTAAATTTAGTCTCTTTCTGTCAAAGCTTCAATTTGAGAGAGAGTTTAATGTTACCAAATCTCAAATATTTTATACCGAAAACGTGGAACAATGTTGCAATTCATTACAATTGCCTAAGCTTACGTTTCCCCATGAGATTTTACTAAGATTTGAGACTGTTTAAGTTGGATATACTGTAAATGATTAAAACTTTTTTTTTTCTTAAATAGAAAGTTTGAGAAAGGTCAAATAATTACAAACAGTGAAATAATGAGCAAACATCAACAGTTTAGTTGCAGAACATCCTCTCATATCACAAAGTTTGTTTTCTCAGTCATCCAGGTATATAACAACAAAAAAGGTTGAATCATGTCATCTGGACTTAGTTTTTTTTGTT